CAGAGAGTGGGGGGGTCTCCGGGCTTTCTGGGGGGCGGGGGGGGGAGTTGCGCCTGGGGGCGGAGCCGGAGGCGAAGGGGGCGTGGTCAATGGGGGAGCGTCGCGGGGGCGGTGCCGCTTTCCGCCAATCAGCGGCGCCGCTCGGCTCGCCCCGCCCCTCCAGCGCTCCGCTCCCTCCGCCGCGCGCTCCCGGGGCCGAGTGGGGCTGCGGCTGCGGCGGGTCCGGCTCCGGTACTGCGGGTCCGGCTCCGGTACTGCGGGTCCGCTCCGCTCCCGGCCCGGCGGCAGGTAGCGGGAGGGAGCGGGTCGGAGCCGGAACCGAGAAACCCGCTCCGACGGCTGCGGGCGGCCCCGGGACCGGCGGGTACCGCGGAGAGGCAGCGGCACCGGACGCGGGACGGCGTGGGGGGCGCGGGGGAGGGGGGGGTGCCGGGAACAACCGGGGGCGGCGTCGCGGGGAGCGGTGCCACGTGCGGGGCGGGCGGTGACCCGCAGCCGGGGGGGGGTAAAACTAACGGGGCCGTTCTCGCAGGTGCCCCCCGCCCCGCCGAGCCATGCGGCATCGCCCGGCCCCCCGCCCGCCGCAGCCATGAGCGGCCCCCGCCGCAACGGGGGGGTCCCGAGCGCCTCGCCCCGCAGCCCCCCCCCGTTAGAGGCCCAGAGCCCAGCGCTGCGGCCCCGCCGCGCCCCCGGCCTCGAGGTGGTGGTGCAGCCCCCGGCCCCCCCAGGGAGGGGCGATGCGGCCGAGGGGCGGGGGGGGCCGCGGCGGAACCAGAACATCGGCTACAAACTGGGCCACCGGCGCGCCCTGTTCGAGAAGCGCAAACGGCTCAGCGACTACGCGCTCATCTTCGGGATGTTCGGCATCGTGGTGATGGTCACCGAGACGGAGCTCTCCTGGGGGGTCTACACCAAGGTGGGGGGGTGGGGTGGGATTGGGGGTGGGGTGGGGGGGGGGTCGGCTGAGCCCAGTGGTGCTCATCCCGCCCACTCCCTGTGCAGGAGTCCTCGTACTCGTTTGCACTGAAATGCCTTATCAGCCTCTCCACCGTCATCCTGCTGGGGCTCATCGTCATGTACCACGCCAGGGAGATCCAGGTGAGAGGGGGGGTCTGGGTGTATTTGGGGGCGGGGGAGGGGGGCATACGCATTGAGGTCCCATTGCCCCCCGTTCCACCGACCCCCATCCCGCTCTGCAGCTCTTTATGGTGGACAACGGGGCGGACGATTGGCGCATCGCCATGACCTACGAGCGCATCTTCTTCATCGCTCTGGAGCTGCTGGTCTGCGCCATCCATCCCATCCCCGGGCAGTATCTGTTCACTTGGACGGCACGTTTAGCCTTCACTTACGCCGCTTCTGTGGCCGACGCCGACGTGGACATCATCCTGTCCATCCCCATGTTCCTTCGGCTCTACCTGATCGGGCGCGTCATGCTGCTGCACAGCAAGCTTTTCACCGACGCCTCGTCGCGCAGCATCGGAGCCCTCAACAAGATCAACTTCAACACCCGCTTTGTCATGAAGACCCTCATGACCATCTGCCCTGGCACCGTGCTGTTGGTCTTTAGCATCTCCTCCTGGATCATCGCCGCCTGGACCGTCCGTGTCTGCGAGAGGTGGGCGCCGGGCGGGGGGCTCAACGGGGATGGTGGAAGGAGGATGGGGTGGGGGGCACACGGATGGGGCGCAGCTGAGGATGCGTGGTGCCAAACTGTGAGGAGAAGTGGTCTTTGGGACCCACGGGTCTCCCCGTGCCCGGGGTCAGAGGGATGGAGCTTCGCAGTGGGGAGGGGGCCGTCCCCCATCGGGTGCTGCAAGACCCATCTGTGCGCCTGGGGTTGGGGAGCAGTAGGTGTCCCGAGGTGGGGATGTGGCACGCGCTCCCCGGCTGCACCCCCCCCCCCCCCCCCCCCCCCCCCCCCCCCCCCCCCCCCCCCCCCCCCCCAACCCCACCCCATCCCCCCCATGCTCGCCCCCCCTCCCTGGCCGCCGCTCGCCCCGGGAGCGCGCATTAACTGCTCTTGTTTTCCCTCTCTGACCGCTCTGCTGCTCGCAGGGACAAACTGTGAGTCACCCCAGGAACGACAGCCGCGTCCTGCACGGGACGGCCCCCCCCCCC